CCAAACGAGTCGGATAATGAAGTTGTTATCAATGGTGGGGATAGACAGTATTTGACTTAATTCAGGCAATAATGCTTACATTGCTGAAAGGGGATGCGCGTTGGCTCAAACCAGCTTTTAGTACTTTACCACGTCCACAAAAAATTAAGTAAAATGCTTTTAAGGTGATTGAAAGCACATTCAAATTCAAGATATGAGCATGGAAAGTACTCGATGGGAGTTAGTCACCAAACCATTTTAAACCATTTGCAGGAGAATGGATACACAGAAAAGGCTTGATGTTTGGGTGCCGCATGAGCGTCCAGGAAGGGTGYAGTGTTCCACCRGGCCTGATCACTCACTTCGTTGATGGCWCGTCAGAAGCYGCAAGARCTCGGATGGGAGTATTTATCGCATCCACCATATAGTCCGGACATAGCGCCAAGTGATTACCACCTGTTCTTGTCCATGGCGAACTCCCTTGTTGGTGTAAAGTTGAACTCAAAAGAGGCTTGTGAAAAGTAGTTGTCCGAATTCTTCGGAAATAAGGAGRGGGGCTTCTACGTGGGGGCTATTATGAAAATGCCGTCTAAACGGAAACAGATTATCGAACGAAACGGCGCATGTTTGAACTAAATCCGATCACTGTAACACTTTTTATAAAGCATTGAATAAAGAGCAAAAAAGCGGAAGGCTGATATTTGAAAAATGGAAAAATTTAAAGTAATATTACTTTATTTGCTAACTGTCTATAGGAGGTGATCCAGAGAGACAACGCTGATTAAAATATAAAAAATCAACATTGTATGTAAGTGTCTAAYAAAAATGTTATCTTATCACTGCATAACAGAGCGCCTCAGCACCCGCTATGTTAAATGACTAACAGACTCGGAAGTGTGCATATGTAGCAACTCGCGCTCTGTTAAGCGGTCATCAACATGCTCATATGTTCAATACCAGTGATGATGTCATTAAATGAGGAAGCCCTCAACACCAGCAATCAAGCAGGCAATAGTTGGGCGGATAGCAGAAAGCCGCGCTGCCTGCGCACAAATTACACCAACCCGTTGTGCAGATATGTGCGTGTGTGTTTACGCGCACCCATACGTCATCGTGCGGGCGGTGAACAGCTGTTCGCTAATCGCCCGCTGACTACGGATAACTCGACCAAGCGCCAACATTAACAGCGGCGCTCATGGAGAGAACTCCAACAGTGGCGCGCCAAGCTGCGCAGCGCCGGTGGTTGTGGCTGCAGCGCCACGAACGGGCTCGTSTTCGGTATTCTGCAGCACGGCCGACGTGTGCCGGCGACAGCGTCGAGCACAATTCCGATTTGAATTTTATTCAGTMTGCAAAAGTATCTACAGCGTTTCGGTTGTGTTTCAACGGCGGCGCTAACGTATTTCGCTCCACTTAGTGTTTGTAGTAGCACATAAAAATTATAAATTGACGTACGTTCAAAATTTTCCCCTATAAATAGTGAGGTGTGTGTGTGGCGATCATCGAAAAAATTTTGAAACATATTTTCATACTAATTGTTAAAAGCATAAAAAGTGTGAGGAAATTGAAGGCAAATTTCTGTGTTTACATTGAAAAAATATTACTCTTCTTCTTCTGATATTTGATTGCGAAACCCAAAAGAAAGGTCACTTACGCACAAGAATCGAATGCATAGAATGCGAAATTTTCAGCGCCAATGCATTTGACGTTTGATATTGTTTTTTTTATTGATGTGTGTGTGTGTTGTTGTTGCTAGTTTTTTTTTTTTTTTTGTTTTTGTTTTGGTGACACTGGCGTGCGTTGGGTGTTGGGCGCGCCCCAAAAGGCAGTCAAGTGTAAGTGCGGTATTGTTAGTATGCAGCATGTTGTTGTAAATGTTCATATGTAAAGCAGAACGCTTATTGCCGTGTATTGTGCTCGCGCCCGYTCTTATCTGCATGCCTCCAAATACATGCCCAAGTCTATTGGCATTTGTGTGTTGGTTTAACAATTTTTGCCGTTTTTGTTGTTACTTATTGTGGCAGTCTAACAGACGTACGTGGGTGCACGTGAATGCGTTYGGAGTGGACCGCACAAGTGCGCCACTTGAATCGGGTCTAATATTTAACTTTTAGTGTTTTATAAACCGGCTAAGAGTCGTTGGAAAATACTTGTACAGTATGCGGTTGTAGGCAGTATGAAAATATATATTTATATACATATATGGTGCATATGTASATACAATATATGTATATAGCCTTAAATATATAACATTAGAACTTAAAGAAATTAGAAAATGAAGTGCCAGCCGCGTTATTCATGAACTATTTGAATGGAAGCTAAAAATGAAGATTTTGATTGGTGCACGAAATTAAATTAAAAATTAATAAAATATTGGAAAAATTAAAAATAAGAAAAAAAATGATAAAAAAACAGTTAAAAATAATAATCAAATTAAAACAACCTTAAATTCATGGATTCTATGTATTAGGGACTCACAACTTGTCATAATGCAACGTAAAATCATACATTTTTACACTTGTTTAAAAAAAATTGTTGTTGGATAACAAAAATGATTTTACGCTATAATTTTATGAGACTATATGAAATATCTATTAGAAAAACTGGAGTATGTTGAGTTTATAGCCAGGAAATCTTACAATTTTATACTATAAAAGGTGCGTTCGAAATTTTTTAGAACTTAGTTTGTTAATGGAAAACTAAATTAAGAAGTAATTGGAAAAAAATTTTCGTAAAAAAAAATAGTAATTGACTATGTAGGACATTTAAAAATGTCAACTAAAAAGAAAAATTGTTTTAAAGTGTGTAAAGAAGTATAATACTAAATTTTGAAAAAGGACTATGCGAACTTAACTACATTTTAATGGACTTTGGCATGTACAATTTTAAACTTAATTAATTAGAAATTTMAAATTTATTGGAAAAATGTTATTAAATCAGCTCTCATCAGTCTTTTGCATGCATGGACTTTATAAAAAACTACTTCTTATACCCTAACTGAGGTATACAACAAAGTTTGTTCGAAGTTTCTTATATCTAGTAAGAAACGCCGGAGATCCTTAAAATTAAAGTAATATATAAAATCTCAGAAAAACGAGCTGAGTCGATGCAGTCAGGTTCATCTAACTGTCTGTCCGGCTGTCTGTATGTACAAGAAAATCTTTCGTACACAAACTGAACGATCAAAATAATGCCTTCGTATAGGAACCTTTTTTATTTAACGAAATATCTTTGCGAAATTTATTTAAAATCCATATAAGAATGTTGACAAATTTTTTGCTTAACGACATATTTCCGAAAAAATTATACTCCAGTTTTTATATGGACAAATTTTTCTTTTGACGAGGTACCTCCGAGGAAATTAGATCGATGAAAATGCAGTTCTTATATGGATAGTTTCTTGGTTGACAAGATAKCTTCAAAAAATTTGGTATTATCAAAGGCAATGTTGCCATCTCCGAAAAAATGTTTAAGCACTATGTTCTTCATTTATGTAATATTTTCATTACTTGATGAGGTCTGACCGTCTTTGAAGACTTTATACCASTGGAAGGCATGTGTGATGGATCTGAATCACCGTAAGCATTTTTTAACATTTGCAACGATTCCGCRCCCGAAATTTGGTTAGAAATACAAAATTTGAGATAMAATTTTTGTTCGACTGGTTGACAGATCACGCTCATATTTGGTATAGTAATTAAGGACAGTCCTGTYAACTAAGCAAAATTCATTGTTTTGAAAGATTGTTTACCCGGGGAATTTCATTACAATTTCCGGGTCCTTTGCTAGTAGAAACCAACTATAGTTTCATAGATTTCTCGACCAAAAATCAGCGAATACTTAGGTTTGAAATGAGCTGCCTGTTCTAGTTTCAGCCTTCGTTGATTTATTTGGTGCGTCTGTTATCAGCATGAATTTGTAGAAAAATATTCTACATATGAATATATAAATGAAAAAAATGATGGCAAGAGATGTAAAAATATTTTTGCCTTTAGTAAGGCTAGGCTCTCCCTAGTTATTGGGATTTTAAAGGCCATTATTCATGGTGTATGGTTGGGAATTTTACCAGATGCCATCTGTACAAGCTGTATGAAAGAATATGAGGTGGAAACAACTCAACATTTCCTTCTTGACTGTCCCGTATTTGGGAGGTCAAGACTTCGACAGTTCGGGTCCCTCACCTCAGACTAACTGTATCGAAAATACACCTCGAGTGGAATATTATTATGCTTATAAGCTTTACCCTTGTAGAATATAACCGAGTTGAAATGAAGCATAAACATGGTATGAGAAAATTTCATAACTTCATAATTTTGAGCTTTTTACGTTTTTTAATACATGTTCACTAGATAAGATAAATAGATGAGAATTGCATCGCGACCTAAGGTCTATTGTGCCCTTATGTACGTGCTTACCTTCCTATTTGAAACAAGAATAAACCAAATTTTGGTGGGACTTTAAGCTAAGCCTCAATGCACACAAAATAATCGAAATTATATTGAAAATTCAATATACAACCAAAAGTTAGAGCAGGAGCTTCATACGTATAAAAATGATTTAAAGTATAAAAGAACAACATTTTTCCGTTTTCTAAAAAGTTAATACTAGAAAACTGCTTAATTTTCTTAGCTGAAAAGGAAAAAAAGCAAAACATGCAACTAATTTACAGTGAATATATACAATTTTGGCAATATACAATTTTTTATTTAGAAACATTTATAGTACAATAATTTTTTTTAGCATAAACAAAATGTTTTTGAAGCCTTTTTCTAATTTTACTGTATTTTAAAAAATCAAGTTGTTTACTTTCGCAACACTTTTATACGGTGCTTATAATTTATTGCCACTCAAAATCTACGCAAAGAATTTTATGATAAAAATTTTCAAAATTCGCTGCCATATTCCATTTAAAAAAAATTAAAAATATTTAAGTGCGTAAAAAAACGAATTTGTAAATGCATATCCATCAAACAAATGAAATATTAAATAATTCATGCACAATAATTCATGTGTTACGTGTTGCAATTTCAAAATACATGCGTACAATATTTTTCACGAGCAATTTATACACATAAAAGTGTGTGTTTATGTGTAACTAAGTGCATTTGTGTGAAGAAAAARATAAAAAAAAAATTAAAGATAAAGAAAAATTGAATTGAAAGTTAAAATTGAGCAATTGCTATTAGCACAGCTGCAGCGATAGACAACAGTTGCCTAGCAGCCGACTGCAGAGCGCAAGTGCTGCACAAAAGCATACATATATATGTACATACATACRCACTTATTTATGTGAGGCCCACAAAAATTGAGCACATCCACACAGCGTTGACCTTGAAGGTAAGTGCATGCCGCTTTTATTATTATACATATGTATTTCTAAATTTAACATATAAACTGCTGAGTAGCCACTGTACATATGTACATAGGCACCTGCTGGTATGTGTGGTTCATGTGAACTAACGCCGCTACTTTTGACTCCAGTCTCGTTTCCGCTTTAAACTTTTCGTACAAATTATCGATTGTTTGGGGAATACATACATATCTACATGCATACACACTTATATACATACATAAAACGTTGTGTTTGTGCGCGAAAAGTCCTTCGCCTCAAAGCTTCGTCGAATAGCAACAGAGTCATAGGCTGCAGCAAACAAACTCATAAATATGTATGTATGCCTGCACATATATTTACTTCATAGTCATGACATATTTATAGGCAACAACAACCTTGGTACCGGCAAGGACACAGTGCAGATGATTTGTGCAACGCAGCAACAGCAGCTGACCCCCGGCTACAGCCAGGAAATCTGCGGCATTTTGCAGCAGTACGCATGTTTGCCGCTGACCACAACAACTACATACAGCAACAACAACTGTTGCAGAAATTGGCAAATCAAAGTGCAAAATACAGCAACAATTAGTTTGCAAATTTTGCCGCATTGCAGTTGCCGGCTGCTTGCGTTGCAACATGTTGCTTGAGTGATGTTGCAGCAACATGTGCGATGCATAAATACTTGCTTGTTCAATAAACGAGAGTGTTGAAAAMTATGTTTTAAATGAATCCGCTTTAGATATTGGTGTGAAATGAACGTTGCAACGCAATTGTGTAACGTAACGAATTTTCGTCACATTCGCGGTAAACAGAGCGCCATTATAGTGACAGTTTAAGCGATTTTTTCAATATTTTTGGATTTTCGCATTTAAAAACGAAATTTTTTTTACAAAGTTCCCACCTATTTTGAAAAAATGAAATATCTATACTTGTAAAATAAAAATTTTAAAATTTAAGCGATTTTTTTTAAATTTTTTCGGGGAGATATTCACAACGTTACAAAGTGGCCACCTATTTTCAAAAATGAAAGTTATTTGTAAAATAACTATTTGAAGCCTTGAAATATTAGCAAGTTGCGAACTATTTAGAAAATAATAAAACATTATTAGCTGTGTTTTTTATTTTCAACTAGTTTAGAAAATTGTTATAAACTCTTTAAATTTTTTCTTGCAATAAAGCTGAGTATGAATCATTCTTGAGATGCAGTTTAAATAAATTTGAGAACTTTTTAAAATTTGTTAGTTATTTAATTTTATAAAATGAATAAACTCTTATGTTATGTGCATCAAATTAAATAGAGTTATTAAAAAATGTGTGCGAAAACTTTTTGTGAAGAGTTGCCACTTTATAAAAAATGCCCAAGAAATTTGATAAACAGAAACGAATTTAAAATGAATTTTAAATTGAAGCATGAGAGCTGACTAAAAAGTATTTTTTAGAAGGTTGCCACCTGTTTGAAAAATAAAAATAGTTCATAATATTTTTAATACCTCTGACATTATCATTTCTACTCCTTCTTCATAGAGACGCCATAAAAAATAATTAAGCATCAATTTAAAAATAGTTTAAAAACTTTTAATATTTCTGATTTAACCATTTCAGAAGGTTACCACCTGTTTGAAAAATAATTAATTAATAATAATGTCRAATCAAAGGGTCGAAGGTAGTTGAATTTTTATTGAAGATTGACATCAATTTAGGAATTTTTAATCTTTCCGAGAATACTATTTTCACTACTTCTCCTTTTTACTCCATTATATTTCACTTTTAGCGCGCATAGTTCTACTTATAAAAATTTTCCTTTGTTTTTAATATGCAATTGGTCAGCTTAGCTGCATGCTTTGTCTGTTGAAATATCGATATTCATAATCGATACTGTCACAAATTACTTATAGACTACCCTATCCAGTATGCTTTATTCCCTGAAGAGGAAAAATTAAGCTTGCCACAATTCGTAACACACAGCAGGTGTCAGTTTTTGAGATATCGATCTGAAATTTTGCATACATCCTTTTCTATTCAAAAAGCCTTCATTTCTCGGAATGACTGAACGATCAAAAGTAAGTTGTTGTTTGGACGAGATATCTTCACGAAATTCAGTATATGATATAGCCCAAAGTAGCGATATAATTTCCGAACAAATTGTGCAGATCGGACCACTACAKCATATAGCTGCCATACAAACTGAACGCTCAAGATCAAATTATTATATGAAAAACTTGTTTTATTTGACGAGATATTTTCACCAAATTTGTCGGAATATTGTCCAAGATAACGCTACAATCTCCAAAGAAATTGTTCGGATCGGACGACTATAGCATATAGCTGCCAARCAAACTGAACGATCAAAATTAAGTTGTTGCATAGAAAACTTTTTCATTTTTTGAAGGGTATATCAGCTTGCTTACGGATTTTTTACTCTTCGCATAAAAATTAGTAAAATATGAATGTCGTTTATTTTCGTAAGCTACCTACATAATACACCGGCTACATGAGTCTGTTCTGACTGRTGGGTGTTACTCATGGCGGCCGCTGTTGGTGTTTATGTTTCAACCACGCTTGTTGTTGTCATTCCGTTGCACTTCGTTTCGCTTTCAATTACTTCTYCACACTTGCGTTTTTCGCTTGTTTATAATTCATATTTATTTTTTCTCTTTCTACATTTGTTCTGCTGCGAATTCTATTTGTTTATTTGCTCTCACTCTTCTTCACTTAACACCCATGTTGGAGCCACTGTTGCTTGTTGCTGTTAGTGGTGACAGCGTTACATTTCTAACAATTCATTTAATTAATTTTTTTTGTTGCTGTTTTATTTATTATTATTATTTTTTATTTTTTTTGACACCATATCTTTCGCCGTTCCTTCAGATGTCTCGCTGCACTTGTCTTTCATTCATTGCTTTTGCCTCGGTCTTTAAGCGACTGCTAGGCAAATGCACTGTTAACTTAATTTATTATTTCGACCCATTTATTTGCTACTGTTTTTCAGCTCTTGCTTCTTCTTTTTTCTTTTTTGTGTAATATTGCGTGGCGAATGCGAGGTGCGATTTTTCATGCATGCCTAATTACGCCCCCTTCGGTGGTCAGAGCATATGCACGCCTGTATAGCGGTGCCCCACTGCAACTTGTGCTCAGCGCATTTAACCTCGTTTTGCGGAATTGTCTTGTAGGAGTGTGAAATTAATAGTCCAACAAGTGCTTTTATCAGAATTTCGCCCTCAAGCATGCACTGTAATGCGTTTTACGTTTACTTTGAATCGTTTCGCCAACGGAACCAACAGCTGTTTAATAAATTTCATTGAAAACGAAGAGAATTCGTAGGGAGCGCGAACCAATTATTTTGAAGAAGTGTGTTTGAAAGTTTTAAAGAGTTAACTCCAAGTGAGAGACGATTTTTATTTAAATTATATGGCTTTTGTAGAAATAGTAAAATGTTTAATAATTTTAAGTACTCGGGTTTCAAATGATTTTGGACTTAATATCTGTAATATATATTTTTTTAAATTAATATATAAAGCAATTCCCTTCATATATTTAAGGAAAAAATTTATCGCAGATATTTGGTCAAATATTAAACCAAAATGATCTGAATCGATAGATTTAGGTCTATTTTTAATTTTCATCGTGATATAGTCCCAGGGTCACTTAAACATCATAGCAAGATTTGATGTAAAGTTTGCGACATTTCGGCAATACAGTTAAATTTAGTACAAGAATGTATATGAATACACCATCTGATCAAATTTAATCCGGTGTGACAATTTATTTTCAGATATTTAATACAAATTTGTATTGTCGACTTCAAAATGGGCTCCTGAACCAATAGAAATAAGGCAACGTTTTATTAAATTTTCCATGCATTTCTTACAAGTCGTTTCAGCAGGAGTGACCGGCCTTCAGTGACTTAAGCGAATTTTTTTTTACTCAGTTTATTTTTGGAGCGCCATTCGCTAGATTGTTGGGCAGTTTTGACGTCATATTCTTAAACCCACGTTTCGTCTGTAAGGTTCTCGTCTATGTTGTCAAGCATATTTTTTGCGACCTCTACCAAATGTCGTTTTTTTCAAAAGATTCATGTTTATTGGTATATTCTAACATTGACAGACTTTATATGATAAGATAAGATAAATAGACGAGCATTACATCGCGACCTTAGATTTATTGTCCCCTCTTCTAAAACACAAAGACTCACCTAGCCCAGCATATTGATAAAGTCCAATATATGGAAACATGGTTCAAGACCTTTATCCTGCGCCTGCACACTGCTATTCAGTCAATTAGCAGGTGTTCTGGAGTTTCAGGCTCCCTGTCGCAGAACCCATGTGACCAATACAATGCGAAAAATAGAGTTTGACCCTAGAGATATTCATTACATATTTACACCTGCTGAGGTAATAACCCCCCTTTAGCAACATGATATGACACATGCCTTGGAGTTGCTGCTAATACCTTTCTCTGCATACTCCTTCTTTCTTGCGTAGCAGCTTCTTGGTATTTCAGGACTCACCGCGATGAAGGGTTCAGGTCCTACAATGTTCGTGGATGCTGTGGATCGATCGAGTTCATCAGCCGGACATACTTGATACCCAAAAGATTTATTAAAAGGATTTAAGTCACTCCATAAGAAGTCAACATGTCAAATTTATACACGCGCCTTTTGAATGTTAGTACTAACTGAAAACCATCAATGTGTTAGTTCCGGAACTTTGCAATTGAACTATTAAGATCCGATGATATCTCACTGATGCCATGACAACTATTTTCAAGCACTATTTCTTGAACTTTTTCTATCTTACCTTCGGCAACAAATGAAAAGAGTTAAAATAAGGTTCAGGCGCCAATAAMTTCGAGAATATTTTGCCTTACTCAAAATATCTTCAATTTATTTCAGTGGGTGAAAGAAAAACAAAATTAAATTTAAGGGCTACTTGGAGTTGGAACGAATTAATTTTTGCTATTGACCATTTTGGGCATCAGTGAATTCAAGAGTCTACGATAAATGTGG